AATAAACCAATGCTTTAATTGTCGTCTAATTATACAATAAATTGCAAATCAATTCACAATTTAATAACAAAAAGAGTGAATCCAATGGAGGAAAGGGAAGAAAAGGAGATAATTGTGCAGAAGTATCAACGAGGGAGAGATCAAGTGAGTGATGACAACCACAACCACTGCATCTGTGGTCTTGTCTTGCATTCAATTTTAACTATGATTTGATTGAATCAGTTGTCGGCCAAAGAGATTGACGAGTGGGAGGACCCGCAGTACGAGATCTATCACGTGACCGATCGATACGGTTTTATTCAGTAAATTACAAACTATTGAAGCATTTTATGCTTAATTGGATCTCAATTTTAATAATATTTCATTTCTCGCATTCAAGTGATAATCGTTTGCCCGAAAAGTTGTCTGACTTTGAAAACAAAGTGAGTTTGAAATGCAAACTAATTTCAAACATGTTTTGAATGTGAATAACATGTGAATTGTTTGTTGTGTTTAGATTCGAGTCCAGGAGAACACACGGCTTAACAAATGGCTTAAAATGTTGAAGTCTTGGGAACAATACTTTCCTAATTCGGATAAATTGCGGACAAGAGTTTATAAAGGTTTGTAGGAATCGGCGCTAAGCGGTGGTCACACAAACTAATTGTTACGTACATTAAAGGGATCCCAAACGCGGTTCGGGGCGAAGTGTGGGCACGACTTCTCAATATAAGTCGACTCAAACAAGAACAGGACGGTATGACCACCTCTTCCACACCAAACCATTCATACATTTCTATATCATGTGTTGTGTATTACAGGCAAATACAATGAAATGCTTGCCTACGGTTTGGATAGTTCTCCAGACATCAGGCAAATTGATTTGGATGTGAACCGCACCTACAGAAACCATATCATGTTTAGAGAACGTTATAATACTAAACAGCAAATGTTGTTTAGAGTGTTAGTCGCCTATAGTGTCTATAATTCGGTGAGTATTACATTAGAATTGTTTATTATTTATTATATTATGTCATAATAATTAGATTTAAATGTCATAATCTATTGCCACCCCTTTCACGGTTATCATACAAATCTATGATTACATGTTTACATGTACTGTACTTTTTCAAAATCAAACCCATTAACTATACTATAGCTTATACAGTAGGATATAATGTTAATTAAACATGGTTATTAAACAGCCATGATTTAACTATGTTAAATGATGTTGACTAGTATTACTGTAGTATGATTTAAATTGGTATAGTTTACATTAGTTTTACTTATGTCATTAACTAGCGTTGCCAGAAATATTTTGGCATTTCCTTGAAAATTTGATAATTTTGCTCAAATTTCCTGGATTTGAGTTTTTAGTTACTGCAAAAATAGTAGTCTTAATATTTTTATTGAATTTTGTAATATAACAAATATTTCAAACCAGTTTACAAAGATTGCACATGTTTTACAATTGGTTACACCAGTGCTTACACTTTTGATTGCGCGATATCTATAAATCTCATTGAAAATACATTAACCTAAACCTATGGAGTTTGCTAAGCACAATTTTTACAGTCTATTTATGAAGAGTTCCTGAATTTTTTTAATGTCAAGGAATTACCCCTCCCTGGACTCTGCAAAAATTGTCCATTTCCTATCTGGCAAAGCTATCATTAACCCATTTGATGCCCTATTCAGAATATTCTAATAGACTATTCTTATTCATTAATTTATGGCTTGAGAACTAACTTATATTCACACATTTATATGATGAACAAATGAAACCTTAATCCAATCCTATTAATCAATAATACTATAAGTAATAATAGAAGTGCATAAAAGGGACGCTTTTGTAGTAACAATATAAAAGGTAGAAAGACAGCTGACTTTGTTGTGGTCAGTAATCTGTAGCTAATACTGTACACTAATTTTATTTAAAACTTTAAATGGTTGATAACTAACTAACTAAGGTTAATTAGATTATAATGTAAATAATTAACAATAAATTGTTGATAATTGAATGATTGCTAATTGACATTAACTTTGTATCGATAGGAAATTGGTTACTGTCAGGGAATGTCACAAATAGCAGCTCTTTTACTTATGTATATGAATGAAGAGGTAATTGCTTTATAATATACAATACTTTGTTATTAATTTGCATTTTATCTAAATTAATATAAAGGACGCATTTTGGTCACTGTCCGCACTCATGGTGGACGACAAACACGCAATGCATGGTTTGTATTGATCGACTATATGTCAACATCTATTTTGTAAACTTATATAAACTTGTAATTTTAAATATATATTAGGCTTTTTCATCCCTGGGTTTCCAAAACTGATCCGTTTTGCTCGACATCACGACGCGATTACTCAAAAATTCTTACCAAAACTCTCTAAACTCTTTAAGGTATTTGTTTATCATTTTTAAGTAATATTGACAATAATTTGTTAATTTTTACACAGAAATACGATATCGACTCAACACTCTATACATTAAAGTGGTTTTTCCAGTGTTTTCTCGATAGAGTTCCCTTCTCTTTGACTTTAAGGTACAGTTAAAACAATAAATAAATAATTGAATAAACGAATGAATTGTTTTTGACAGACTTTGGGATTGCTTTCTATATGAAGGAGAGATCATATTGACGGGAATGAGCTATACTTTACTTAAACTTCACAAAAGTATTTGAAATTTATTGAATGTTTGAATGATTTTGAATTGAATTGATTTGTTTGCGAAATTCAGATACACTTCTTAGGAAAGGAATGGAACAGTTGATTGAGTTCTTACAAATTGAGTTGGAAAAGGATTTTGGCTATCGAGACGATCAGGCAATCACTGCTCTCCAACAGTCTATTACAGACCTCAGGTACTGATTGACAAATTGTCACAATCTGTTTATTGAATTTTACTAAACATTAATATTTGTATAGAAAACACAATATGTTGTCTCCGAGAGAAGGGCCGACACAATTAGAGTTGCCGTCGCGTCCTTTTGGACTAATACTTCCTCCGAACCGAAGAAATTCCTTCTTGAATGACAACATAAGTATTGCTGGAAGTATTATCTTAAGGCCAACAGACAATGTATCTCTCGCTCAGACGTCGAGAACGGGCAGCGAAGTCGGCAGCGTTTCAGACATAGAACACGAGTAAATAGAATTAAATTGAATTGATTTCAAGTTTATTAACATTTGTATACAACAGTGCGGAAGAGCTGAAACTCCAGCGATCGATATCTATATACGATAACGTAGGCATTGATGAGTCCATAGAAGCGGCCAAACGGTTGAGTGCTGTTGACGGCCAACACCAGAGACCCCGGAGTAGAGAAAGCAAACAACTATCAGCTCAAAGCCATGAATCAGACACTCATTTGTCTTACAATGAAGTGAAAGAAAGTACTCAACGAAATGAAAATATTGTTGAATCGATTCAAACAAATGAAAAAAGCGATTCAAATGTCACCGATTTTAAGGACAGCAAAGATAGTGTTTTTGTCGATTCGGTTTTGCAAACAAATCATATGAAAAGTGATGCAAATATTGATAATTCAATAAATTATACTAAAAATATTTCACAAGATTTGAGTCAAACTAAACAAACGAGTTCTGAGTCGACACACAATGAGACCATATCTACACTCAACGGAAACACGAGTCATATTAAGTCTGAAAATGAATTTTATAACAAAACTGAAAAGACTAACGAAGAGACAAGCGTTCAAACGATTACCACTTCATCTAATGCTGAAAATTACAATACGTTTAGCACTGAAAACGAGAGACAAGAGTTGTTTGAAAGGAACGAATCAACG